TAATTTTTTTGTCTGGGTTAACAAAAATTGCCTCGAATGTTCAATTTGTTTTCTTATTTAGCGGTCAACTTATTGAACACGATTTGATACGTTAAAAAAGTATCCGTAAACGCATACACAGAATATCATTTTGTCTACATTTAGCGGTCTACTTATTTAACGTCACAACGCCATTGTTTACGCATTTTAAATAGAATAATTTATTATTTCAAGATGCCGAATAAGTCCCGAGTATTTCAAAAATGATACTAAATACCTAAAACTTTTTTTTTATATGGGGCAAAAGGTGTTGATTATTTATGCAAAAACGACTTTGGTAGAAAAATTAACATTACCATAGGTTATCTTGATATTATTGTTAAACTAACTTGATATTATTGTTAAACATACTCATTTAGGGGTGGTATTTAAAATAATATCTTCAATTTTTATTAAAAAAAGGTTTTTTTATGGATAATTCACCTAAATAATGTCTGATCAGAAATGTCAAGTTACATTCATTGAAAACAAACTCCAATACGTGCTTTTATGAAAAAATTCAATACATAGACTTATATATAGCCAAGCGTTTGGTACTTTATGTTGAAAATTGCATCTTTTCTAAATAAAACTACGCTTGACAAATTGTTATAGTCACATTACTTTTAACAGATTGTAATAGTGGTTAAAATAATTTTTCCATACATACCAAATACGTCATACTTTTTGATGAAAAAACTTAAACATATTGCAACTGAAAAAGCTTGTATTTTTGTTCGGAAAAACGTGTACCATCCCTTAGTTGCATTGAGATCATTGCAGTATCGTCTATTACAGTTAAATGCTTTTATTTACGAACAAATATATTCTGAATAAAACGTCATAACAACGACATTAACAGATAAAATAAATGTTTAATATTAATATATATGAACCAAAAAAAAAATTAACTAAAACTTAATAAACTCGTTTAACCAAATTTATTATATTTCAATGACAATCTTTTTTAAAAAACGTTTTTTTTTTTTTAAAAACGTTTCCTAAAGAAATTTATTTTAGAAAATTTTTTTTAAGAAGTTACCATTTTACAAGGTTATCGGTACCCGGTAAAACCAATAACTTTAACGACTTTCGAAACACTAGCTACTTTGCACAAATATTCGATATCCTTTACAAAAAATATCTCATTCTTTTCTTATATTTTTAAAAGCTTGTCAAAAATATTCTTCAGGCTATTTAAAAACTATTTTATATAGTCTTATGGTTTTTAAAAATAGTTTTTTTTTCGGGGTAGTTCACAATACACAACATTGGGAAATTGGATTTAAAAGTAAATCTATAAAAGAAATGTATGATTTATTATTGTATCATTACAATTATGCAACTAATCTGTTTATCCCAAGAATTAATTATCAAAATAGAAAAAATAGAAACAAATAGATTACTCCTGAATTGAAACATAAAATAAGAACTAAAAACAATATATGGCTTGCTAATAAACGTAATGGCTGGAATGAGGAATCAACAAAAATTCAGTATAATAAGCTAAAAATTAGAATAAAGAATGATATTAAGGTCAATATAAAACAATTAGAAAGTACTTTAGTTAGCAAGTTTAAATCAAATCCTAAATTGCTTTATAAATATATCAATGATAAGAAATCAGTGAAATGTCAAGTTCGAACTCTGGAAACTCATAATAGGGAAATCATAAATGATCAATTCACTATAGCTACTGAACTAAATAAATATTTTCATTCTGTGTATGTTAATGATAATTGTACAAGTATAATTAAGTTTCATAATATACCTTCAAATTTATTATTAAACATAGTTTTAATAACACAAAATGATGTTCAAACTAGACTTCAAGCACTTGATAAGTCAAAATCAGGCGGTTTTGATTTTGTTTATCCATATTTTTTAAAAGAATGCAGCAAGTCAATATCATACCCATTATATTTTATTTTCAAAAAATCGATGGAAACAGGTACCCTACCAGATATGTGGAACAAGGCAAATGTAATGTCACTTTTTAAAAAAGGAAGCAAATTAAAAGCATCTAACTACAGACCAGTCTCGTTAACTTCAATACCTTTTAAAGTGTTAGAAAGAGTAATAGCTGATTGTATCATGCAACATCTCATAAAAAATAATTTACTTTCAAAAAAACAACATGGTTTTATGAAAAGCAAGACATTTTTTTATGTACAACAAACCTATCAGAATACCTAGATATTTTAACAGATGCGTTCCACAATAGAACTCCGGTAGATGTATTGTACACAGATTTCAAAAAAGCTTTTGATAGTGTTTCACAAAAAAATTTATTATCCAAGTTATTAAATTTTGGTATTTCTGGTAAACTTCTTACATGGATAGTTTGTTTTTCAGCTAACAGAAAACAAAGAGTGGTTTTAGGTGAAAGTGTGACAGATTGGGTTGATGTACTTAGTGTTGTACCACAAGGGCTGTTCTAGGTCCTCTCCTTTTTTTGGTATTTATAAATGATTTACCAGAAAATTTTATTAATGAATGTCGTTTATATGCTGATGATAATAAGATAATTGCGCCTATTTCTTCTCAAAATGATTCACAATTGTTTCAAAATGATATAAATAAACTTGACGAATGGTCAACTAAATGGAAATTAGGATTAAATTTTGAAAAATGTAAAATTATGCACTTTGGTTCAAATAATAACGAATATTCATATTTTATGAACAATAACAGTACATTAATGGAAATTGAAAAGTCAAAACTAGAAAAAGACATTGGTGTTTATATATCAAGTGATTTAAAATGGGCCAAACAAGTAAAATATGCAGCTAGTAAAGCAAATAGTATGCTCTCACTACTAAATAATACATTCAAGTACAAGGATAAAGATTTCATAAAAACACTGTATTGTACATATGTTAGACCAAATTTAGAGTTTTCAATTCAAGCATGGAGTCCGTATTATACAAAAGATATTAATGAACTAGAAAAAATCCAACGAAGAGCTTCCAAAATGATACCGGAGCTAAGACAACTTGAGTACAAAAAAAGATTTGAAATTTCGGGTTTGACTACTTTGGAGACTAGAAGGCTAAAGTGCGACTTGATCCAGCTTGAACCCCCAAAAGTCGCCCTGCATAGAGTTTAATAGGAGAAAGTTTTAATGCGACACATTGTATTATATATGAAGATTTATTAACTTTCATTTATATTTGAGTTATTATACCGTTTCATAGTTTCCGTAGAGGTTTAATTCTAAAAAATATGCCTTATAATTTATAAAAATAATTATATTTTTAAGAAAATAGTTTTTTTTTTAAATAAAAAGGTGCATAACTTTGCATAATATATATATAAAAAAAAAATTTTCTACATGTTGCTCATGGCCCAATACAATCAATATAATCTTGAGTTTTCTAGTCTAACAAACTTCTTGATAGACCTAATTTATTAGGGATACAGTCATAATTATTATTGCTTAGTCTAACAAAGTATAGGCATTTTTCAACTTTTGCTTTAGAAAAAAGTTTTCAAATTTTTTTTGAATTAAGCTTTCTTTTTTGAATATTTTGTAAATTGCCTAAGCCTAGTATAGATGTCTTTTTTCAAAAAACATTCCAATTTAATATAAAATTAAAAAAGTTTCCTAAAAATTCCAAGTAAATTAGATAGTCGAGCAGCTGTAACTTTATGTTTTCTGTGATCATGCCACTTTTTTGTATTTATTTTTATGCTCGTGTAAATAACACCACAAGCGTTCGAATTTCATTTTCTCTACAAATTAAACACGTTACAACTTAAAACTATTTTTTAAAAGTGTTGTTTTAATTTTCGAACAATTAATGCAACATCAATTTAAAAAAAGTTTGCTTCTGGATATGCTGATATAGCAATTACGCCATCATATTAATTTTTTTTTAGGACTTAGTTAATCTTGAAAAATGGTTACAATTCATAACTGTTCTGTTTAAGATAGAGCATAAAGTTTTTCTTTTATATATTTTTCTAATGTAGTTAGTGTCTTATCATTATTGTATTTTTCAGAAAACCCACAGTTCCTTTCCTTTTTATGGTCACAAAATTTGTAAATAATATCTACACTAATTATCTTATCCTAAAACATCTTGCTTGATGACTGTTCAGCGATAATTTAAGGTATTTTAATTGAGACTGCATTGAAAATACGTGTTTGCTATTCAATAACAACATTTAGTAGCCTATTAGGCTTCGTTTTTTTTTTTTTAGCTTTATATAACCTAAATATATTTGCATTTTGTTTCGCAGTTTCTCAAAAGTACAGCATAAAACTCCTTTTCTATCATTTATAATCATTTAAGTTTTTAATCGTGATGAATAAGGAACTAATGGTAGCAACGACAGAATTGTTTGGATGGTTTTTTTGATAACAAAGTTACTATCTTTACTTTTTTCCTTACATAGAACTAATTTCGAAACCAGGCCTCTGAAATGAATTTGGCTAATACGTTACGTTTGATTTCTTCATGCAATTTGTTAAAGCTATATAATAGTGAAACAATGTTTCAATTTAAATTGTTTTTGTAAATACTTTTAATACGTTAATTTGTAGAATATAATGTTTTAATGTTTCTCAAGCAACTTTTAAACTCTATGTTTTTGGAATTATTGATTTAAATGGATATTTTGCTCATTTTCGCTTTGTTATTTATATTTGCTTTTTTTTAATATGTGAATAGAAACCATTTACGCTTGTATACCTTTTGTACTAGAAGTTTCCATTTGCATTAAGTTTCGATTTTTGGCACGCACAACAGGTTTGATAATTTATTTGCCTGTCTCGGCAATAAAAACTGTAAGTTAAATGAATTTGTTAGGAGTTTTTTTTTTTTACAGAAAAGCTTTTATAAAAAATAACAAACAAATAAAGCTAACTTATCTAAAATAAATAGGTTTTTTTGCCCGTTTTTCAACGTCCAAGTTTGCTTTTTAAATAAATCTAAATGAGAGGGTAAAATATTATTATAGCCTAACTTTCCGAAAACACCTAAAGAAATGTTACGCAACTGTCTTACATGTTAAGGTACTTTTATTATGTAAAAAATATTGAAGAAAATGAGTACAGCTCTAAGGTATAATAAATAAATTGTAAACCAAAAGAACATGTTTAGAATTATTCGTTTGTGGAAACGACTTACCACAACCCATATCGTGCGGGTCATGACAGCTAGTATTATTTAAACAGAGAATTAGAAAAAAAGATTAAAAAAATTAAAAATTAAAAAAAAAAGATTATAATTAAAATATAAAGTTAAAATGATTATGATAAATGATCACGGTGTAACTGTTGTTTACCAATGATTGCAGTATTATCCCTAAATACTGGGATACCGGCTTTAATTATTATCTGAAGTCCCGAGACTGTCTAATATCAATCCCGGGATTTCCTAAAGTTTGAAAAAAACAAAGTGTAATAAAAAAGTGTATAAAAATAACGACAAAAAATTTGTATTATTAAAATAATAATTATTCGACATAAAATTGTAGAAAGTAACTGTATTTTTAGTTTTAAGGTTTAATGTAGAAAAGAAAAAAAAGTAAAAATCTATTATTTTGGTTATATTATTTTGTTTAGCATTATATCGTTTTGGTTAGCAACTAAACAATTTAAAAGTTTAATACACTATCTTCTTTAAAAATGAGATTAAATTTGCATGAATCAATAGTAACTAAGTTATAAAATTTTTAATAACTTAGTTACTATTGTTAATTATTCTGTACTGTTCTGCTAATTCTGCAAGTTAAAATAAAGTAGACTCATAAAATTTAAAGTAAGTGGCGTGTGTGGGTTTTAAAACTAAAAGTAACTCAGCTGTTTGGAAACACTTTTAACGCGATTAGAAAGACCAAACAGAAATGTGTAAAAATGCTTCATACAGGCAGATTGGCGGTGCATAATGGGAAGGTCGAAGGTCCAACCAAACCTAAAATTACCAATGAAAGCAAATCAGATGAACCAAAAAAAAAAGTTTAAAACTTTAACAGAATAATTTTTGATTTATGAAAAGGAAGATTAAACAAGTTCTGCTATACTTGCTTGCCTAACGGCGTCTGACGGAATTTCATATGATGTGTTTTATTACTTAACAGATTTACGTGCTAATCTCACTGTTATGAGATTCAGAAATTGACCAACGTCAGTAAACAAAATTCGTAAAGATGCAGTAGAGTAAAGCAAAAAATGTGTTCAAGTTTAATTTATCGAATTGAAGCGCGCAAAAAAATGTAATTCAGGGTGAAAAAAGTGAAAATCTATTATTTTGGTTATATTATTTTGTTTAGCAATATATCACATTGGTTAGCAAATAAACAATTTAAAAGTTTAATGGAATTCAGGGTGAAAAAATAATTTATAAAGTTAATAGTAAATAGAAATAGAAAAGTTTATAGATTTTCTTTGTAAACACACCCTAATGGAAATATTTCTTACGAAAAAAAAAGTACACCAGAAACGGATTACATTTTCGAAACCACCGTACCTTGCTCTGTTATGACCTACATTTTAAAAAGAGATTGTTTAGTGTTTAAGATAGATAACTTCCAGAAATGGTGCTTTCATAAAATTTTGTAATAATCATACTAATGCAAAATAAAAATGTTTTATAAAAAATTGCGACGATCGGAGACTGGAAACAATATTAAACCAAAAAATTGGGTCCTTGTGTCCCATGTATCGTTTCATTAGAAAAATATATATTTTTTCATTATATTTTTCATTATATCTAAAGTAAAACTAATCGACAGATTTAAAATTTCATACAAAAACTTCTTCTCTTTAAAAAGTTATTATTGTTTTTAGTTTTTTATTCCCCATTTAACTCCAAAAAATAACTTTAAAAGATCACAACTTTTAAACGGCATTTTTTTTTGGAATGATATTTAAAATTTATCGTTAAATTTTGATTCTAATAAATATGAAAAGAAAAAAAAACTCATAAACGTTTTAAGTGCGTTACGTTAAGGGCGTGTTCTTAGAGATTTAATATGATTGGGCCCGATCACCTGACACAAATAAAAAGAAGATTTTAGTTTTTTGTTGTGGTTTTTAATGATATTTAAAATAACAACTTAAAAATAACTGTTTAATATTTTACAAATTAACTTTTCACAATAAATTATATATATAGTTAATCAGTAAGACTTTCAGAAAAGAAAGTATGACGAGAGTAATATGTAACAATAGCTTTATCCAATCTTTTGAATAATTTTTGTGACATTTGGATACCTTGTAACCGTTTTCCCAGAACTGACTAGAATTTTGATGAACAGATTCAGAGGCTTGTTCGCTCCAATAGTCTAGACCTTTGTTTGGATAATCACTTGACATCATTTTTCAAAATTCTACTGCATGTTTAAGCGTGTACTTAAGGTGATACTCTTAATCCAACTTTATAGTAAGCTTCTTGATAATCTTTTAGTTTTGTTTCGTAGTCGGATTCTGAAGTCATCGCTAAACAACTAACTTTAACTTACCTTAAGCATTGAAATGCCTGTAGTATGAAAGAAAGTTGTTCATCATTATCTAGTGAGAAAGACTTGATCAAATTGTTCAAAATATCTATATTATTAGGAAGTTTTGAGCACTGTCCTCCCTTAAACTACCCACAATGAAGCCTTGGTCTTTTAAACCCCATTGTTTCATTCCACTCCTCTGCTTTAAAACAAAGTTCTTTAGATTTTGTATATGAATCAAGGTAGTTAAAAAGTTTGTTGGTGTTTCCACTGAGAAGGTGTAGCTCCATCGGAGCAAGAAGTTTTATAACCTTTGTTTCATCTGGTAAATTAATAAGTGGTTAGTCTACGCAGTTATGATAGGGTACTGCAGATAACATTGATTTTTTAATTTTATTTCTGCAAGCATTTTTGTAATTATTAGCTGATAATATAATCATTCCAAGCGTTTTATGTTCACCTTGAAATTCAAAATTTTGAAAATCATTTTTGCTAGCTATACACCAAGGGCAAGGATGAGTTGAGGCTGCAGTTTCTATTCCAAAAAAAATATTGACCAACTTTATATTGAAAGCACAAATGTATTTAAGACTGTTTAAATTAATAAAATCAATTATTATTTTCATATTTGCGTAAGATTCTTGCAAATTTTCTACAAGT